GATGTAAAACTTGGGAGGAAGGATACAAACATCGGCAGGAAGGGTTTAAACCTTGAGAGGAAGGATGTAAAACTTGAGGAAGGATACAAACATCGGCAGGAAGGGTTTAAACCTTGGGAGGAAGGGTTTAAACCTTGGGAGGAAGGATGCAAACATTGGCAGGAAGGGGTTAAACCTTGGGAGGAAGGATGTAAACTTGGGAGGAAGGATACAAACATCAGCAGGAAGGGTTTAAACCTTGGGAGGAAGGGCTTAAACCTTGGGAGGAAAGATGTAAAACTTTAGGAAGGAAGCAAACATCGGCAGGAAGGGTTTAAACCTTGGGAGGAAGGGTTTAAACCTTGGGAGGAAGGATACAAACATCGGCAGGAAGGGTTTAAACCTTGGGGAAGGATGTAAACCTTGGGAGGAAGGATACAAACATCGGCAGGAAGGGATTAAACCTTGGGAGGAAGGATACAAACATCGGCAGGAAGGGTTTAAACCTTGGGAGGAAGGATGTAAACCTTGGGAGGAAGGATACAAACATCGGCAGGAAGGGTTTAAACCTTGGGAGGAAGGGTTTAAACCTTGGGAGGAAGGATACAAACATCGGGAGGAAGGGTTTAAACCTTGGGAGGAGGGATGTAAAACGTGGGAGGAAGAATACACACATTGGCAGGAATGGTTTAAACCTTGGGAGGAAGGATGTAAAACTTGGCAGGAAGGATACAAACATCGGCAGGAAGGGGTTAAACCTTGGGAGGAAGGATGTAAACCTTGGGAGGAAGGATGTAAACATAAAGAGGAAAGGTTTTAAATTTTAAAAGAAAGTTAAACCTCGGAAACAAGTATAAGTGGGAATCTTTTTACCTTGCTTCTCCTTTATAGTTGAACAAATCTCACTGAGCATGATTAAATTTTCCATATTGATCTGAAATCCCAAAATCATATTTAAATAACTAATTTTTATCCGCACTAACTTAATATATTAACTAGTTTCTTTTGTTTTTGATTGTAACATCACTCTGTTTATCAGTGTTTAATCCTTTCTCTTCAACTGCTGTGGGGGCACTGGATTTGTTTACATTCCTCCCACAGTGTACAGTACACAATTTGCGAATATCTGAGTTGGGCGTTCCTGGTCTATATATTTGTTGCATGAGATTATGCTTAGAGAGTGCAAAAGTTGATGGATCCCCTGGTTTCTCAAATCAAGTATTTCATGCTTGAATAAAAAATTGTACGACAATTTATGAATAAAAGTCTTTTAAAGTAACCAATTTTTAGTAAGATATTCCAATATAAGTTTGAATTATTAGTGCTTAAGTTTTCCTTTTAAAGTGTAATTGAAAATAAAGAGAGGTTATCTAGTTTTTAGTTACATAAATTACCGAGAGCCATGTAGCCCAGTGTTTTTTGATTGAAAACTTTTTTCTGCTTAAATGAAAATAAATATTTTCAGAAATCACCCAAGAGTACTGCAATATGCAGATTGACCTTTGGAAGTGAAGTACATGGCCTGTACAATTAGTAAAGAATTAGCGTACATCATCACTCTATATACTATAACCTCGTTGGTCAACCCAGACCGACATACATTTGAATAAAATGTGGAACTAACATCTATTTTCAATACTTTAATTTGGTTCATCATACCGAATTTAAAATCTTTATAATCCTCCACTATAGTTACCTATTTTTGCATTCAATTGAGAATATTCTTGGAAGAACCATCGTGTACTTGTAGAACCAGCTTTGTAGGGCAAATTCATTAGATATTGTTTATCCTAAATTATAAAAGGAATTGTGTTGAAAAGTTTTAAAATAAATTCTGATTGTAATAGTAATTCTGACACCTATGAGAGGCCAAAAAGCCTTATTGTGTATTTCATTTTTTCTCTAAATGAGTATTTTGTAAAAATATATAACTTACATGTGCAACCATTCTATTAAAAAAATGTTTAATAGTTCCATTAATACGATTAAAATCAAATAATATATGCTTTATCAATTTCAATGTATTAAACATATCAACAAAAAAAAAGATGTCAGAATTTGCGGAATTTCAAGATCGAATGGTCCATGTAGAAATTTGACAACAGGTATTAAGTCATGTGGAACAAATACAGGGTGTACCTTTAAACATGACGATTATAAGTTGTAAACTTTCACACCTAAATAGCTTATAAATTGCAATATCTTTGTTTGATCTAGACTTGTTTCAAATCTCAAGATATAACAAACTTTAACCATATTCCTGATGGAGGGGGGGGGGGGGCAATT